TCGTACAACATGGAATTCATATAAAATAGAATTATCAACAGTGTTACAGAGGGGTTGACTGTAGTTGAAAAAAGAAAAAGGAGCTAAATGTTCTTTTGGCTCCACATATATACACATTAGGATAGTATAACATGTGCTGTAGGGTGTGAAATAATTCTGATGAGATGTACAGAGAACATATATCTTGTCTATGTTCTTTGTACATCTCATCAGAATTATTTCACACCCACAGCACATGTTATACTATCCTAATGTGTATATATGTAGAGCCAAAAGAACATTTAGCTCCTTTTTCTTTTTTCAACTAAGTGTATATCTTCTTATGAGTCATGTTGGTTTAACTGTTTCTATCTCAGGACTGAAGAGGGGCATTAAGCCCGAAATGCATATACGTTCACACCAATAAAACAACCTTTTTCCTCTGAAAGTGTTCCTGTGTGATATTTTCTCAACAGAAACACTGTGCTAAGAAAATACAAATACATATACACGTCGAAAGCACTTGCAAGATTAAAATATTTTAAATTATATTTAACGCCTCATAGTTTGAAGTTTTGGAAGAAGTTTTGATTGAGAATGAGAAAACGTATTTTCTGAGAATTTGAGAATTCCCAAAATAATCTTTTAAATTTAATTTTCATTGATCATCTAAATTCTAAAATAATGATTATAACAGTAAATGTTAATAAGCAGAAAAGTCATAGAGAAGGTAGGGCAAATGGAGTTTGTGGCTCCAGCACAGTCTTTTAGAGGTTAAGACACTCTTGTATGTAAAAGATTGATGCAAAAAATGAGTAAATAAAATTTCCTAAGTGAGGTCAACCGGATTTTCATGACCAGTGCATCTCTTGCCCTGAACAGGGGTCACTACAGTATCATTTTGGATAGGTTTCTGTTATATTTCAGGTTCTCTCAAAATATAAACAATGTAATTAATGCAAACTTTATTTAACCAAAATTATAGTATAAATCACTGTATACTATAAATACAGTGATTTATACAAATATCACACAATGTATTAACATTCCTAATCTCATTTAAATATTCTATTTATTTATTTTATTAAATATCAATAGAAAACAAATGCAAATATTATTCGTTTGAAAATTAAAAAATACTTCAAATAGTTTTTATTGTTAATTTACAACAGCCAAAATTAGCTTGTTACGTGTTATCTGATTCTGGTGTTGTTGCATTTCTGGTAGCATGTAACCGTAGACAGCAATAAATAGAAAAAAAAATGTCTAAATATACATTTTGAGTAGTATATTTATTTTCCATTGTTGGCATTAATGGGTTCTAAGAGCTGATTTTCTCAACTTCCTAACTTTTCTTGGGATTTGAAAACAGGAAAACAAAAAATATTTCAGCATAGGCAAGAATTTCTTTCTGCTCAGAAACACTATCTCAGTGGCATCACTCTGGTGTTTCAAATTGCTTTGCAGCAATTTCCAAATTGTGTTACAATTTCTAATAATTCTCTATATAAACATTTAATTAATTTAAAATTGTTATTAAGTGTAAAGAGTTATTAAAAATTCTAATAAAGAACAATCAATGAAAAGATGAAAGAAAATGCTGCAATTTAAAATAATGCAGAGCAAATTAGTAATAATAAACATCTTTAAACATATGCTAATGGCACTTAACTTAATAAACCACTCATATATTCTGTATTCCATGAGAAATCAAGATTATTTTATACTTAGGTGTCAAATTTATTTTACTTTTTAAAGATTTGAAATTTTTCCAATAATCTACTCAATATTTCCTTTCAACTGTACTAAATTTATTCTTTAATTTTGAAAAGGGTTTGACTTATGGAACAATTTTTTCTTTGAAAACTGTCTTTTTTATTAAAAATAATTATGTTTGCTAATAACATTTAATTTTAAGTTATGCCTCTTATAACCGGTTTTTTACTGAAGACCAAGACCATAAAATCAACTTTTATAAACTATGCATTTAAGATGCTACACATCCCTCTTCAGGCTAAAAAATGTTTTAAAAAAGTACAAAATTACAAATGAACAAGGTAAATTAGACAATTAAAGCCATCACTGATCTTTTTTACAATTATTGAAACCACACACACAGATACATAAGACTCTCTCACTATTCTACCTGTGTCTATAGCACAATCCCATTTACTGAAGCTGATATCATCCCATACGTCATCTGTTTCCATTCCTCTATTTAAATTTATTAATGTTTTATTATTATTCATTATCATTATATGCTCATTAAATTTTCTTAATTATTTTTTCTTTAGCTAATATTTTTACATTATTTTTATCAATGGTACAATTATATTTGTTACAATGGATAAACAAAGCATGGAGATTGTTTGTACTTTAATCTGATTGCCGATTTGTACGCTTTTACTCCAATTCCTAAAGGTCTACCAGTTTCACCAATATAATACACTTTTCTATCAAAAATACAATTTAACTTATAAACTATACCGGATATATTCAATTTTTCCACACACGAATCATTTGTTTTAATTAACAGATCTTTTGATTTTATTGCATGTTTTGCTGCCAAATTAATACCATATTTTCTAAATACTGAAATGCAGATCATTAGTGGACTTTAGAAATTCAATACTGTATAATTTAGAAATCTTAAAAAGGTCATTAAATTGTATATCTAATTTGCCTTACGCATTAAAAAATACTGACAATTTAATTTCTAGGATAGCAAGAATTGCAATTAAACCTACATTCAGAATTATGGGTTTGGATATTGTTTCAATGTATCCATTGATAAAATGATGTTACAATAGTTTAAATTATTTAGAAATCTCATGTAATTTGGTAAAACTAATTAATTACAGTTATCATGATAATTTCTTTAAAATAGGAGAAAAATAGAAGGAACAAATAGAAAGAATAAGCTTGAGGACAGTTATAGGATCAAAACTAGCAGAAATAGTTATGATTGAAATTGATAAAAATATAGCACTTCAACAAGGAATAATTTTTATGGCAAGATATGTGGATGCTTTATTTCTAATGTATAATATTATGTTAAGCAGATTCCTAAAATTTGCTAATGATTTAAACCAGGGTTGTCCACCCTTTTTTCCTAATGGACCAAATTAGAAATTTAGTACATTCAGCAGGCCACAAAGGTACTTTATATAAATAGATGCTTTTAAATAGTTCAAAATTTGAATATCAAATTTTAATAACCAAATATATATAATTACAAAAAATACCATATTATTGATAGTAAAAAAAAATTATACTCACACAAAATAAAAATAAATTCAATGTGATTTTTGACATTGCCTTCCTTTTATAATATTGTCAATATCTGCTTTTATGGTACTAGTCTTAATTCTAACGTTCGAATGTTAGTTAAATGGGAATCACTCAACTTATTTCCTTCAGCAGTTTTCATGTTTTTCATGCATGAAAAGAAATGTTTACAACTGTATGTTATGCCTGTGGGGTAGTACAGTTTTCTTAGACCAATTACGTCATTATGATATCAAAGTGTATCCAGTGAAATGAGAATAATTTTTATGACATACATTTTCATTTACTTTGGTAATGTACCTAAAAAATTTAGGGTGCAGTGGGCTGCATACAAATATTAAGTGGGCTGCAGTGTGACCTGCAGGCTACAGGTTGGACATCCCTGATTTAAACCCTTCCATAAAATTTAAAATAGAACTGGAAAAGAATTAAACAACTATTTAGATATTACATTAACTAAATCTGACAAAAAAAACTTTATATAAGAACGTATGAACAACAATGTAATACAGGAAAAATGATAAATTATAAATCATATTGCCCATTAGCTGTTAAAAAGAACGTCATTATTGCAGGCTCAGCAAAGATATGATAAAGAACAACAAATTTATAGCATATAATGAAAGATCAACAAAAATTGAAACAGAACTTTTTATTTAATAATTATCTGAATGCATTACTAAATAAATGGATTAAAAATCATAACTTGTATAGATTTAATGTAAAAGTTAACAATAGTGATGATAAATTTGTATCTATCCCATATGTTCGAGGCATGTTTCAGAAATGTAATAAAATATTTAGAAAATATGATATTAATTTGGCAGCAAAACATGCAGTAAAATCAAAAGATCTGTTAATTGAAACAAATGATTTGTGTATGGAAAAATTGAATATATCCGGTATAGTTTATAAGTTAAATTGTATTTGTGATAGAAAAGTGTATTATATTGGTGAAACTGGTAGACTTTTAGAATTGGAGTAAAAGCGTACAAATCGGCAATCAGATTAAAGTACAAACAATCTCCATGATTTGTTTATCCATTATAACAAATATAATTGTACCATTGATAAAAATAATGTAAAAATATTAGCTAAAGAAAAAATAATTAAGAAAATTTAATGAGCATATAATAATAATGAATAAAACATTAATAAATTTAAATAGAGGAATGGAAACAGATGACGTATGGGATGATATCAGCTTCAGTAAATGGGATTGTGCTATAGACACAGGTAGAATAGTGAGAGAGTCTTATGTATCTGTGTGTGTGGTTTCAATAATTGTAAAAAAGATCAGTGATGGCTTTAATTGTCTAATTTACCTTGTTCATTTGTAATTTTGTACTTTTTAAAACATTTTTTAGCCTGAAGAGGGATGTGTAGCATCTTAAATGCATAGTTTATAAAAGTTGATTTTATGGTCTTCAGTAAAAAACGGTTATAAGAGGCATAACATAAAATTAAATGTTATTAGCCAACATTGTCTTTGTTATTAAAAAGCATTAAGTTTTCTAAATTTATTTTGTCTTTCTGTAATAAATCCAGTTCTATTCATATACTTCATAACAGTGAATGGATGAGTGAGTGAATGAGGACAATAATAGACAATATAAGCTTTATTAGATAGTTTAATAATATATATTTTATAATGTCTAACAATAAATTTATCTTAAAAGATTAAGGTGTATTAAAAATTTTTTAAATTAATATATAAAGTTCTAAATACTAACTTTTTTCCCTTCTTTTTCAGCTTCCATCAATTCATTTTCCAGCCAAATATATTGATTGGCAGGATCAGTGGAATTCAGTGTTAAAGTATTGGATTTATACCATAAAATTGTATTCAATCCAAGAATGGTCAAACTTGATGAAAGAGGAAATGAATAATAACCACCTACATAAAAAAAGTTATTTTTGTTAAAATTATATTATAATGCTTATTTAATTAAGAATATATTTACCTTGAAGAAATGTATTCCAAGTAGAATTGGGGAGAATTTCATTCCATCTACCTGTAGTAAGATACTGATTGTAGTAAGTAGTATTGCCATTTTGTGGTACTCTATCTGGTGGAAAAGTATCATGATTTCCAAGCACAGGTAGAATAGTTGAATTTGGAAACTTTAGTGATAATAACTGTGTTATTTTAGCCAATATACTTGTTATACTTTTAAAATTAGGTGATGGATTCCATATATGTGGAGCATTATCTCTAAAACAGGAAATATAATTATTTTTTTAAAGGTTCATTATAATATACTTATTATTTTATATATTAAGTTCTCTTTATATTTTGAAACTGAAATATTTTAATTATAAAGTTTTTTTACATATAAAGATCTGATATATACAATGAATTAGTAATCCTTAGTTGCATATTTATCTTAATTTATGTTTTAAAACAAGGCCATCAATTTTTTCCTGTACTGTCATGTGTTACGAAATTTTTGTAGATTTATTGAAATGATTTAATTAAATAAACTTTTGGAAAAAGGTTTGAATTTTAAGTACTTCAGATGTATTTTGTTATAAAATCAGACACAACAAACACCAGAATAGTAATTAAAAAACAAGTGAAGAAAAGAAAAAATTATGCATTAATAGATTTTTAAAGTTTATGCATTTATAACATATTATGATGTGAATAATTTTTTTAAGTTAAGTAGTTAATATTTTGGATTATTAAATTCTGTAGTGGTCAGATGGCTTCTACGAGGTACAAAGTGCATTATAAATAAATAAATAAATAAAATAAAATATATCATCAAAAATTCTGAAAAATTGGTACCTTCCTAAAAATGATGATATTCTCTATGATAAAAAAAATTTTGCATTGGTTTTATCATTTTTCAGAAAAAAATGTATGGTTTCTCACAAAAGCCATGCAACTAAGTTGTATGGCTTTTGTGTATTATTTTCCTACAATCCTTCAACCTCAATTTTGTAACAGGACCTTCAGGCTACAAAAATATGCACACAGCAGCAACTGGAAATAACTTGAAAGAAATAACAGATTGAAATTTAATATGTTTGTTTGCATTCCAACTCATTATGTAAAGACATTTCTAAAATACTAATGCTATCAATAAGCAAGTGTTTTATATTGGTAGAAGTCAAGTGATGGAAGTCAGATTTTTAACTAAAAATTAGCTTCTCACAATGCACATGACCATTGTACTGTTAATTGCTATTTATTTTTGTACTTCTTAAATCTCATAACTTGACAAATGTAGGACTAATACGGATACATGTTTAAAAAGAATAATAAAATTAATCACTTTGAATTGTCATTTTAGTATGCATTTTGGTCTAAACGCTCTTCAGCTGTTGACAATTCTTTAAAAAAACTGGTTCTGAGTAAAGTCACAAAAAAAAAATATTTTTAGTTTAATATTAAGACATAAAAGGCATATGTAATATCACATTTTGAGTACTAAATATGATATGAATTTTTTTTAAAAACACCAAAGAATTAAAACCAAAATGAATTTACCTAGGAGGGAGTTATTTATCAAAATGTGATCTAAAAACTAAAAGTGTGAACTAAAAAAAAGAAAAGGGTTAAAACTATAAAAAATAAATATTAAGTAACTAAAATAATTTGAATCAGTTTTTTAAAGAATTGTCAACAACTGAAATGCACACTAAAACAATTCAAAGTGATTAATTTTACCATGCTCTTTTAAAACACACATCCTTTATGGTAATTCCTACATTTATCAAGTTTGGAGATTTAAGAAGTACAACAATTGAAGAGGCTTTGAACACATCAAGCTATTTATTTTGTTATCTGGCAGTACTGGTGCTATATTCTTAAATATAATTTCGAAAAAATACAAAGTATTTACATTAATATAACTTAATAAAACCAAGTTATAAATCAGTATCTCAAATAAAAACTGAAAAATAAATACATTTAAGAGTTTTCTAATATAAGTGTAATTATTTTAAAATGCCTTAAAGAAGGCACACTCAATAGAAAACTGAAAAAGTGCCATGAAAAGTTGGGAAGATGAGCAATAACATAGTAATTTTGATACACAAAACTTCAAAGTCAGAGGCAACAGTAACTGCAATTGGCAACATTGTTGATGAATAAGAACATAAGACAATGGACTGATAAAATGGCAGTGCCCTCCAATAGTGCATGAAGCAAGAGCAGTATATTGTCGTCCAAGTTTCAACAAAAAAAGTATTTAAAACATTTTGGCACATGCAGGTATTGTACAGTACCTAAATGAGTTGCACACAGGTATACAAATACAGTTCTAAGGTTCTGAAAACAGCCACAGTTCTGTGGAAGGTTTTCTCCATGGCTGGGACTGCAGCAAATGCAGTCCCAGCCATGGAGAAATTTCCACAGATCTGTGACTTTAGTTGATCATTTCCATTTTCTGTGGGTTTTTTAAAAAACCTAAAAGACTAAGGTTCCAAAAACTGCCACACATCTGTGGAAGATTCTCCATGGCATTCATTGCTGTCCCAGCCATAGAGAGAGAACCTTCCACAGAACTATGGCTGTTTTCAGAAGATTACAACTCTACTTGAACACCTGTGTGAAACTCGTGCATGTGCAAATAGATGTTGATTGCTTATTTTTGGGTCAAAAATTGAACACTACAGTCTCTTGCTTTGTGCACTAATGGAGAGGCGTCACCATTTTGTCAGTCCATTGTCTTATATTCATATAGATCAACGATGTTGCCAGTTACTGTTGCCCTGACTAGGAAGTTTTGTGTCTTAAAATTATTATGCTTCCAACCTTTAAGGGCACTTTTCCTGTTTTTTTATTGAAAATGTATTGTAGTTTCAGATATTTTGTAAAACTGGAAAATAGAATGCCAAGGTACCTGACTTTTTTTTAATATAANTCTGTTTCTTTCTTCATCTAATGTATTCCTGACATGAGTAAATTAACTTTGGATACATTCTATATTCTGTAGCAGGGGTGTTAAGTGACTTTCCTTCCCACCCTGTAAATTTGCAAACCTAGTGACAATATGTAACTGAATTAAAAACTAATATAATTGAGAATATAATAAATTATTATGTAACAAAATATTTATTGTTTTAGAATATACAACTTCATTTGAAATTGTATAAATTGTGTTTGGATCTGAAATGATACTTATAAATTTTAAAATTGGTTCTTTTTCTGCTTTAATGTCTATCTTACAAACATAAATAATAAAAATTACTAAATATATTTTTTTTATTTACATAAAATTTATAATATGCAAGACTCATCCTGCATTAATATTAAATTATAGTAATTATATGAACTGCAATGTATTATAAAATAATAAAAAAATGAATGGCAGAACATCCTATCAAAATTACTTTCAAACTTCTTGATAAAAAATAAATAAAACTGTGATTTGATGTTTAACTTTAGAACAGCATTTCTCAATCTGGGCAATCTGGGTCCTTGTGGGATTTATTGCATTTTAAGAGGCAATAAGCTCTAATTTACATTTTGGGACGAATTAAAAATTTTCTGGACAATTTTAACAGCAAATGAATATTTTTCTTACTTTTACAATCTGATTCAACTATAAGAAGACCTTTAGTGACTAAAAGTCAGAATATATAATCATAATTACATATATCTAATGCTAACCAAGTTCCTAATGAATATAACACTGCAACATGTTATTGATAACTTGCTTGACTGACTAGGTTAGTCAAGCAAATAAGTTATCACTAGCCCATCACAACATCATATTAGTCCTTTTGATGTGGATGTAAATATGATACCCACACATCTGCAAGAAAGTTCAAATTGATTTGCAAAGCATGCCAAAGCCAAAATTTTATATACATAGGATAATATTGAAACATTTTGGATGAGAAATAGAAACAAGTTTAAAATGCTATGGAATGATATCAATATGCTAATTATGACATTTCCAAATTCTTATCCCAGAGAAAAAGGGCTTAACACTGTTCTTCAGTTGTCCAAATCAAGCAATTGTTTGTAAATAACTCAAAAAGGAGATTTGAGATTATTTTTAACTAGTTTCAAACCAAATTAAACCAAGTTTGCTCAACATTGTCAGCCTTAAAGATCATATTAATAATAATAATTACTTATCTTTAGATGTCAATTTTAGAGTTTGTTATTATTGTGAAATCTGTATTTTGAATAAATAAATAATTATGTACAATCTTTTTATAAAATGTAAAACACAAAAAATAAAATATAAGAAAATAAGGGGTAAATTTTATAGAAGAAAAGGGGGAGATATCTTTTTAAGAGTAGGGAGTGATATTATGTTTCGATACTTATAAAGGTTAATTCTGAAAACATCAAGAAACACTGCTTTAAAGCAAACTTAATCTGAATTTCATTCATTTCAAACTTTAAAAAAGATTTTAAAAAAATATCTGATATTTTAGCACACTGCACTTGTATACTTCATTACTATTTGTCACATAGAAAATTATAATTCTTTCTACATATTTAAAAGTTTATATCAATAATTAATCAAGTTTGATATTTAACTTATTGAATAATCTCTGAATTTTATTGTTTTTGTTGCAGTTTAATTTTTATAATTCAATTTATCTATTGTTTTCAATTTTATTTTATTTCAGTAGTAATTGGCCATGGAATACTTCAAAAATAAACTATATGAAATTATTTCTATCCACAAAAACATTACTCTATCATTTTAAATTATGTTTGTAAGTGGTTGAGTAATCTCTAAATAAAGATCAACATCTGTTTTAAAAGTGCATTCCTGTCTATGTGTAAAAATATTTCTGGAAGACATCAACTTTTATGTAATACCTTGAAGATTATTTTTAAATACATAGATACATAAATATAAGGAATGCATATAACAATTTCAAATTCTTTGGGATAATTTTTAAATAAAATTTTTTAAATGTATACAAAATTATTTGTATATCCTATCAGTTTCACATTATATACTGAAACTGATTTGTAATAATGAGAATGCTACAATACAGTGTGGAAAGAAAGTCACTTAACACCCCTGCTACAGAATATAGAATGTACCCAAAGATTGTGCATCTAGCCCATCGTGTAGCATGCATAATCCTGTATGACCTTTTGAGGTAAGTCAATAAAATCTTTTGGCAATCAATTCCTTGTTAAATTCTGATCCTAAATGATGTCACATGACCCCTTCCCATTTACAGTTCCAAAGTTGCATTCAAGATGGTGGCCTTGCATATAACATACATTAATCTGTTTCTTTCTTCATCTAATGTATTCCTGACATGAGTAAATTAACTTTGGATACATTCTATATTCTGTAGCAGGGGTGTTAAGTGACTTTCCTTCCCACCCTGTAAATTTGCAAACCTAGTGACAATATGTAACTGAATTAAAAACTAATATAATTGAGAATATAATAAATTATTATGTAACAAAATATTTATTGTTTTAGAATATACAACTTCATTTGAAATTGTATAAATTGTGTTTGGATCTGAAATGATACTTATAAATTTTAAAATTGGTTCTTTTTCTGTTTTAATGTCTATCTTACAAACATACATAATAAAAATTACTAAATCTAAATCACTATAATTCAAAATTATAAGTTATATTAATAAAGTCCAAAAAACAAAATCCATAATGTATTACCCTGTCCATATAATGAAGTCTGGATCACTTTTATACTTAATCATAGCTTCTATAGAAGAATTAATCAAGAGCCAAGGAGAATCACAGTTGAAATTTCCATAATCTCCATTGAGATAATCACCTGTAGTGTTTGTTGTCAAATGACACATTTCATTTGGATTTCCTCGTATGGAATATTGTTTATCCCAATGAATATCAGTGATTTGCCAAAATGTACCTACATTAAATACACACATTATTTATTAAAAAAGATTGTAATAAACTGTCAAATAATAATTTAAACATATATGTAAATATACTTATTTAAAACCCATCAAATGTGTTCAGAAAGAAAAACAATTAAAATAAATTTTTTAAATATGTAATAAGCTGCATCTCTTTCATTTTTAGAATGCTTCGGTGACCTTCCTTAAGCTAAATGCAAGAATCTAGCATCCTAAATGTGTACAAATATTATAGCATTTTAAAAATAAATATAATGTAAAGAAAAAATATTAAAATAATAAAATAAAAAACAAAAAGAGGAAAATAATTATTATGAGATGATGGTTAAATTACACTAGATTTACTCATAATAATTCTTTTGAGGCATTAATAATTTAATTGACATATTTTTAAAATTCTTTCAAATTGATAATACAGTATATAATAGATTTAAGTTATAAATTTAAAAGTGTATAAATTTACTAAAATATTTAACACTTTCCAGATAAGAATTAAATAGGATAAGATAGGAAAAATTAGATTAAACTTGCATGCTGATATATAGTCAAATCTCAGTTTTCAAATGACTCACTCACTTTTTGAACAAATCAGTTTACAAATAGATTTTCAAACTCATATTTATCCTGGTTAATGTACAATAACTCAGTTGCCAAACAAGCTACTCAGCAAGAGCCTACCACAGATTGGAGACACACAGATGGTCAACTCCCTATACTTTGTTGCGGTCATGAACTACTTCCTGTAAAGAGGTAAAAGGGCCGGAGCAATTGTGTAAGAGGAAAAGAAGAGACAAAAGAAAAACCCACACTTTTGGACTAGCTGTCTCGGCATTCGGACAGAAGAAGCTACACTCCATAATTTGTTACTACCTCGTATCACAAAGAAGTTATGTAAAATTGGAGTCAGTGATTTATCTGCTAATAAATGTTATGTTTTTATATTGTTACACCACGTCAATTTGTTATAATGGCAGTTGGGAACAACTCAACAACTTCTATGTTAAAGAAAGTTGACGACCCAACCAATCAACAACAGGACTACTGATTGAGAAGTTAGTGGTGTTGAGATTGCCTGCATCATTAAATAGGAATCATTGACAATGTTGCTATTTAAATTAGATTTCAATGAACATGCAGAACTACTACTGTTTTTTAGTACATGTCACAGTTGAATTTAAATCAAATTAATAAAAAACTGTATTAACTGACATTCACATAATATAAATGGCATCCAAGAATTCATTTTTAAAGGTGCTTAAGTCAAATTAAATAAAAATTTATTATTTATAATAAACTGCATTTGTAGACATTTTTAGCTGTATCTTAGCATAAGATACAGTTAAAAAAGTAAAAAACAGCTTTATTTTGGGGGTAAAGAACAGATTAATCCATTTTAAATTGTTTCTTATGGCAAAATTTGTTTTTATTTTAGAACAACTTTTAGGAATGAATTATATTTGAAAAGCAAGATTTGACTGTATTATATAATGCTAATTCATTTTATTCCTTAACTAAAGATACATTGTTTAGAATGCTACATGTAAAAAAAGAAAGCATAAGAAATTTAAACTAACTATAAATTTCTCAGAACAATATCAAAAATAAGTCAGCAACTTTCTAAACATTTTCACATGAATAAATTTATTTTAATATTAAAAGTTTTTTATGATACAGATTGGAAAGTCTAACCATGTAATGACAGTAGTTCATTAAAGTGAAAATTAAATTCTTAATATAATTGAAATATTTAATTTCTTCTTCTAATAAAATTTCCTTGATTGCATAACTCATTGTTATGGAAACAATAGTAAGAAAGGATACTTGCCACACACAAGAAATACAAATTGTTAATTATCCTATAACAAAATGATAATTTTAATATTTTTTGTCAGTTTCTCAATATCTATAAAATACTGTAATAAATTCAAGATTAAACAAGCAATTATTTATTGTAACATTAAAATTTGCTGCCCAGTATAATGGCAATCATATTTTTAATTTATTTAATTTCAAATGTATACTCTCCACCTCAAATTAGTTCTGTAGTATCTTTCCCCTGTATCTGTAAATCATACATTTCCGTTAATAATGGAGTCATGCCACTTGTCTATCTAACCTATCTAACTCTTTTTGGGGGAAAATTTATTAATTGAAATATCATCACTTCCAGTTTGCATCATAAATTCATATATAGTTAATCAGGGACTTCTTCCCCTAAGCTTTCCATATCTGGTCTTAAATTTCATTTATCTAACACTGTTTGAGATTAAAGAAAGGAGGACATAACAGTGGGAATTTATAGGTCTGCAATTTTTTCAAATTGCAACCCAAATATTTAATATGTCATTATAATAAAGGAATTTAATATTCTTACAAGAATGCTAAAAAATTAGATTAAAAATCCATGAGAGATAATTATATTAATTTTGTTATTTATGAAGTGTTATAAAGTTTCTTCTTTATTAATTAATATATTATTTTACTTTAAACTGCAGTACTACTAGATGAGAAAAAATTTTATTCTTATATCAATGAACTTGAATTGAAAAAATATAATTAATTTACAGAAATAAATTCATATCAAAAAGAAGTGAGCAGAAATATTTCTTTACACAAATGATGAATTTAATCATTTTATAATAAAACTATAATATAGTTGTCACTCATTACTTTTATCATCATCAAGCTATAGGCATAAATGTAAATGAATTTAACCTATTCATGTCATTAACATAAAATTTTATCTAAAAAATTGCATGAATTAGAATTAAATCTGTATATTCCAAGATTTCAATCAAGATTAGTGGTTATAATAATAAGCATGTTTTAGTATTCCATTCTATTATTAATTTTTCATTTCATCACTATCTTAATGGGATGGCATGAAAATGAAATGTTTATTGACAGACATCACACAGACTTAATTGATTTCTCCCATGTAAGCCAGTGTTATAACTACAATTAATCTCCTCACAAAAACTTTTTAGGAATATTACCAATTTATCAAAAAATTATGATTTAATTAAATTAATTTTAATCTTTTTTTTAACTGCAAGAAAATACTTAATATAAATACACTCAAAAAATTTGAAGATATCCAGTTAATAAATTAAGTAGTAATTAATACATAATATAATGATAGGACTAATACAGTAATTTTAAAACAAAAAATATTTATACTAATCTAAAGAATGCAAGTGCTCCAGACACAGGGGTCGCCAAACTTTTTTAACCGTCGATCCCTAACAAGTTTCCAAAACCTCACATTGACCCCCACCGTTAAGTTTTATTACAAGTGCAAGTGTACGAGCAAAAAAAAAATTTTGTGATATTTAGTTTCAATTTTTCCATCGACCCCCAATAATGTTACATCGACCCCGAGGGGTCGATATAACATTATTGGGGGTTGATATCGACCACTTTGGCGACCCCTGCTCTAAGATCACCATATTTTGAGGTTCTTGGATCCTAACTGTTTGACTGACCAAAGATACACAAATACACAGTTACAGAATACCAAATACACTAGTTACAGAATACCAAATACACTAGTTACAGAATTAAATCATTAAAATTACAACTTATTTGCCTTATTAAAGGAATATACGCTTGATGTATAAAATTGATAGTATATTGGAAGTCAAAGATATAGAGATTGTTTTTGTTTGAAAACAAAAAGGCAATTTAAATTAACATATATGTCACAATAGTTAATGTATATAAATACCGTTGTTTTGTTATATAAATCTCAGAACGGCAATTACGCTTATATACTTTATATAATATGAAACAATGGTCATTGTAGTTTCAGATACTGCGAGGACGACCTTGATACGTTAATACAAGTTTAACTTAAAAATTTCAACGTAAAATATCTTGAAAATTATATATATATATAAAAGCATAATCGTTCAATTAAACGATTCTTTTCGGCAACATTTTGATAATTTATCAAGCATATGTTCTACAGATCAAATGGAAACAAAACACATTTGCTAATAGTGAAAATTTTATTCGTAACTAAAATAAATTTAAAATTTATAATGATGCTCGATTCTATTCACTATAAATCTGAATTTCGCAAGAACCGTCAGAACCGAATAACGTAGTTAATCAACTTTGCACGTTCTCATTCCTTCCGGCGAAAATACCGTAATCTTCTTAGACAGAACATGCTGAACGAAGACGAATTTGGAAATAAAATATTGCTTGTTCCTAATATGTTTAGAATAATTTTAATTAATAAATTTCGGAAATTCGAAAGACAGAAAGTGAAATGTGTTTCTATTCTTAGTTTGATTTTTCGCCTTTATATCCAGTAATATATTGATTTTGTGATAAATTATCAATATTTCGGTATACACATTCTTGTAGACGTTTTGTTCTGCAATTATTTAAAATCAGTAATTTAGTAAAATAATTTTCAACGATATTTAGCTTGAATCATATAGTAGGCTAAATCGAAAAAACTGCTAGCGTCCCAGACGAGTAGGCAGTCTACTTCACACCCGCATACTGCGCCAATCAAAAATATTTTCGATATCAAATGAATTTGTACAAGTTTATGATAATTAAGCGTATTAATATGGAGGCAAAATTCCAACACATCTTTAAAAACTCCTTCGAAAAACGTAAACGAAAAAGGGGTGTAGCTATAAATAACGGCACAGAGAATCCAGATACTGTATCTTCATGTGTGATCCAAATACTAGAAATTATTTTCTAAACACCGTATTTTATTGAAAATAAATCAGCTGAGTTGGAATATGTCATTTACATTTATACGTGAACAGTCTTCCAGTTTTTAATACTGGACAAATGTTTAATTTTTCGAGTGTCATATTATTCTCCTCTCATTATAATGACCATTTATATAAACAAAGCTTCAAAGTGTTTAGACTTCCAGAAAATTATCTATTTTAAGAACTGGGAATAATATATATCCGATTCTAGTCAGTTCCTTCCCCCTTTAAATTCTGAAAATCTTAATTTC